TACAATCGTTGGTGGTCTAACGATTATAAAAAGTCTACGTCTCTACCTATCTACCTTCTAGAGCAGTTTCACTTTTTGTTATTAAAACGAAGCGTAGCCCTCTTATGCGTAACTCTTATGCAATTTTCTTTGCTATCTCCTCTGAAACTAAGTATCCAATTTCGATGACAATTACCGCAGAAAGTAATAAGTAAACAGTACGTAGATTAACATATCTCCAGCTGTTCGCTCTAGCTATAGTGCTCTAATCCCTGACTCCGTTGTGATTTTTTTTGGGCGTAGCCCTTTTATCACCGACTCCAAAACGTTTTTTATTTATATCTCATAAACAATCACGCCTGTCACCCAGAGTAGTGTAGGCAGAGACTATTAACCTCCATTTCTATCTCCTCTAAATAATTATAAAAGAAAGGTCGGTCTACACGCATAGCACTATTAACATTATTTTTTATCTTTCATTTATGATTTAGTTTAATACTAAAATATAATGTGCAGTAAAGTTTGTTTATATCAATCATGTCAAAGAAAGTTAAGCTAAATCTGGTAAGAAACTACACGATGTTATTAACTATGGGTTCGAGTTGTACTTGTTACATTACGAGCAGATAGCAGGAAATACGTTCGGGCATAAATGATTAATTTCAATCTCAAAGGATAATGCAGCGCTTAAATAAAAAGTTTACGAATAGTGTGATTGTTCATTGAAACATTAAAATAATCAATTTTACAGGAAGCTTGAGGAGATAATTTTTAAAGAGTAAAAGAACTGCAACGACACTTAGTATTCTGATTACTGGCCTGTAGGAAGAAATATTTCTCTGTTCAGAATTAATTCCTTATAGAATAAGGGTGAAAAGCGAGTCACACAGTCCACCCGATGGAAAGTGGATGCTGTGACCCATAGACATCTACATCTATCCTCGATTATAAATCGAAATACAGATACGTTGTCAACTCTGACGACTAAGATGGAATACCTTGTTTAAAGTTAAAAGAGTCTCCAAGACGTGAAATCAAATTTTATTTCATTTTTCATCCCGCATGCTACGACTAACACACTGATATATGACGATGAGTCTCAGTGGGTCACAAAAATTAAATCAAAAATGGACGAAAATTAAGTATCATTTATTTGTTTTTTCTGGCAAGTAAGTCTAAGCTGGATTCCGGAAGTAAGTTGTATTTTACCCACGTGCCTCAGAAAGTACCTAAAGCCGTTCCTGCGCCTGATCTCTCTCCGGTCGTGTTGGATTACCGTCCCATCGAACTATGAGAGTGTTATATCTATAGTGCACTATGCCTCGGTCCTGTGCATATAGCTAGTCTCCTTGTTCCTTCGCCTGATCTCTCTCCGGTCGTGTTGGATTACCGTCCCATCGAACTATGAGAGTGTTATATCTATAGTGCACTATGCCTCGGTCCTGTGCATATAGCTAGTCTCCTTGTTCCTGCGCCTGATTTCTCTCCGGTCGTGTTGGATTACCGTCCCATAGAACTATGAGAGTGTTATATCTATAGTGCACTATGCCTCGGTCCTGTGCATATAGCTAGTCTCCTTGTTCCTGCGCCTGATCTCTCTCCGGTCGTGTTGGATTACCGTCCCATCGAACTATGAGAGTGTTATATCTATAGTGCGCTATGCCTCGGTCCTGTGCATATAGCTAGTCTCCTTGTTCCTGCGCCTGATCTCTCTCCGGTCGTGTTGGATTACCGTCCCATCGAACTATGAGAGTGTTATATCTATAGTGCACTGCGCCTCGGTCCTGTGCATATAGCTAGTCTCCTTGTTCCTGCGCCTGATCTCTCTCCGGTCGTGTTGGATTACCGTCCCATTGAACTATGAGAGTGTTATATCTATAGTTCACTGTGCCTCGGTCCTGTGCATATAGCTAGTCTCCTTGTTCCTGCGCCTGATCTCTCTCCGGTCGTGTTGGATTACCGTCCCATCGAACTATGAGAGTGTTATATCTATAGTGCACTGCGCCTCGGTCCAGTGCATATAGCTAGTCTCCTTGTTCCTGCGCCTGATCTCTCTCCGGTCGTGTTGGATTACCGTCCCATTGAACTATGAGAGTGTTATATCTATAGTGCACTGCGCCTCGGTCCTGTGCATATAGCTAGTCTCCTTGTTCCTGCGCCTGATCTCTCTCCGGTCGTGTTGGATTACTGTCCCATCGAACTATGAGAGTGTTATATCTATAGTGCACTGCGCCTCGGTCCAGTGCATATAGCTAGTCTCCTTGTTCCTGCGCCTGATCTCTCTCCGGTCGTGTTGGATTACCGTCCCATCGAACTATGAGAGTGTTATATCTATAGTGCACTGCGCCTCGGTCCAGTGCATATAGCTAGTCTCCTTGTTCCTGCGCCTGATCTCTCTCCGGTCGTGTTGGATTACCGTCCCATCGAACTATGAGAGTGTTATATCTATAGTGCACTGCGCCTCGGTCCTGTGCATATAGCTAGTCTCCTTGTTCCTGCGCCTGATCTCTCTCCGGTCGTGTTGGATTACCGTCCCATCGAACTATGAGAGTGTTATATCTATAGTGCACTGCGCCTCGGTCCTGTGCATATAGCTAGTCTCCTTGTTCCTGCGCCTGATCTCTCTCCGGTCGTGTTGGATTACCGTCCCATCGAACTATGAGAGTGTTATATCTATAGTGCACTGCGCCTCGGTCCTGTGCATATAGCTAGTCTCCTTGTTCCTGCGCCTGATCTCTCTCCGGTCGTGTTGGATTACCGTCCCATCGAACTATGAGAGTGTTATATCTATAGTGCACTGCGCCTCGGTCCTGTGCATATAGCTAGTCTCCTTGTTCCTGCGCCTGATCTCTCTCCGGTCGTGTTGGATTACCGTCCCATTGAACTATGAGAGTGTTATATCTATAGTGCACTGCGCCTCGGTCCTGTGCATATAGCTAGTCTCCTTGTTCCTGCGCCTGATCTCTCTCCGGTCGTGTTGGATTACCGTCCCATTGAACTATGAGAGTGTTATATCTATAGTGCACTATGCCTCGGTCCTGTGCATATAGCTAGTCTCCTTGTTCCTGCGCCTGATCTCTCTCCGGTCGTGTTGGATTACCGTCCCATCGAACTATGAGAGTGTTATATCTATAGTGCACTATGCCTCGGTCCTGTGCATATAACTAGTCTCCTTGTTCCTGCGCCTGATCTCTCTCCGGTCGTGTTGGATTACCGTCCCATCGAACTATGAGAGTGTTATATCTATAGTGCACTGTGCCTCGGTCCTGTGCATATAGCTAGTCTCCTTGTTCCTGCGCCTGATCTCTCTCCGGTCGTGTTGGATTACCGTCCCATCGAACTATGAGAGTGTTATATCTATAGTGCACTGCGCCTCGGTCCTGTGCATATAGCTAGTCTCCTTGTTCCTGCGCCTGATCTCTCTCCGGTCGTGTTGGATTACCGTCCCATTGAACTATGAGAGTGTTATATCTATAGTGCACTGCGCCTCGGTCCAGTGCATATAGCTAGTCTCCTTGTTCCTGCGCCTGATCTCTCTCCGGTCGTGTTGGATTACCGTCCCATCGAACTATGAGAGTGTTATATCTATAGTGCACTGCGCCTCGGTCCAGTGCATATAGCTAGTCTCCTTGTTCCTGCGCCTGATCTCTCTCCGGTCGTGTTGGATTACCGTCCCATCGAACTATGAGAGTGTTATATCTATAGTGCACTGCGCCTCGGTCCAGTGCATATAGCTAGTCTCCTTGTTTCTGCGCCTGATCTCTCTCCGGTCGTGTTGGATTACCGTCCCATCGAACTATGAGAGTGTTATATCTATAGTGACATCGCGAGAGATTACATCGCGGGCAGTTGCGGACAGTGTCATCTCCTTGTTTTTGCGCGATAATAATACAAAGTGATGTTGTTTTGAAGGACATATAGCTACAATATAAACATAGTGATATTAAAAGTTAAAAACTGTATTTTTTAGTACTTTTAGTGGACTTTTTGTTGAGTTTTTAGTGAATTTTACACATCAGTACTATCTTCAGGTGTGCATCTACCCTCACATAGACAATAAAAGGCCCAAAATTAAACTTTATAAAACATTTAATTTATTTCAATTTGATAAACAATTTTGCTTAACTCTCTACTTATATTAACCATAGTTCACTGTGAAATGGCAAAGTGTGGAACCTGTGGGCGCTTCCTGAATTCGGCAGACGCTGTAGGTTGTTGTAACTGTAAGGTTATACACCACCGAGGTTGCGTTGCGATCTCTGAAGGAACTCGCGTGCCTAGCAATTGGGTGTGCTCGAATTGCAAGATAAAACCACCGCGTCAGGGCAACATTTCGTCGGTCCCTGTAACACCTGCACAATCGAGGGTTCTCGTTAGTACCAGGGATACTGCCGATACCATAGCCTGTGGCAGTGATAATGAAGTCACGCCCACCAACAAGTCGGCGGAGCTGAGTGAACTTGTAGCTGAAATGCGCTTTCTCCGGAATGAAATAACAGCTATGAGGAGTGAGCTTAAGGACTACAGAACGGAGATTGCAGGTTTTCGTAGCTCTCTGGAAAACCTTAACGTACGGGTTGACAGCACCGACGAGCGGGTCACCTTGCTTGAAAAGAAGTTGGTTGAGACCTCAACTTCAAACCACTCATATGAGTCCATTATTCAGGACCTTAGGTCACAAATAAATGAACGTGACCAAGACATGTTGCATGATGATGTTGTGCTGTCTGGTGTGCTCGAGGCTAGGGGGGAGAATGTCATCCACCTGGTCAAGGCTGCGGCAGGGAAGCTGGGTGTCACCTTGGATGACCGTGATGTGGTTTTTGCTGAGAGGGTTGGAGCAGTGCGGCGAAACCGTACCGCCGGCGAGGGTGATACGGCCCCCAGGCGCATCGTGGTGCGATTTGCGCGCCGCGCGCTGCGTGATGACATGCTGCGCTCGGCGCGAGTTCGTCGTGGCGCCACCACTGAGGGCTTCGGGTTGGCAGGTGAGGCCCGCCGTTTTTATGTAAATGAGCACCTCACTCGCTACAATCGTCAGATCTTCGCCAAGGCACGAGATTTGGGACGCCGTCTGAAATGGAAATTTATCTGGACCAGGTCTGGTAAAATTTTTGCCCGAAAAGATGACAACGGACAAATCGAACGTATTAAATACGAATCTGACCTTAATAGGGTTTTTGGTTCTGGTCAGATTTGAAGGAAACAAACAAAAACATTTATTTTATTAACAATATATTATATACATACTTAACAAATAAAGTTTACTACTATCTTATGTTGAAAGAGATTCCCTATCGAATGTTTTATAAAACCCTCTGTAAATTACTTATGCTACTGTTGCATATTTATGTTGAAATATCCTCTCTAAATGGCAACTGTCACATTTTAAGTAATGTTTTACTGAGGAAGAGCATTTTTTATTGTATAAATAACTGTTGTTTATATTTCAAATTTAACTTTTTTACGATATCTAGTACTGATTTTAGTGCATATATTGATTTTATTCTAAATATGATTGAAACTGTGTTAAAAACAGAAAAATGTATAAAGTCCTTGCTTCTTGCAGTCTATATTGGGTTGCAGCTACTATATAAAATTAACCTATTTAATTTACATAACCTATATACATCATTAATCTCATTTATATATCTTTCATTACTTGTACTCACAAATGCACTCGTTTATAAATTTATAGATTCAACTTGTTTATTAAGCCTCTTTTTTGAGTCTTATGCAACCTCAAAATTTTTTACTTTTTTCTCCAATTTACACTAATACGCTACAAGTGTACACTAACATTCAATATATAATATATATTTATATTATTTACTACTCCCAATGATTCAAGCTAAATATCTAAAAATTGGTCTATATAATGCAGGTTCTCTTAATACTAAAAGTGATGAGTTTATAGTAGCAGTTGAGAATCGTTCACTAGATATTGTAGCTATTAATGAAACATGGCTTAGAGCGGGAGAAGAAAGTAGCGCACCCATACTGCCGGGTTATACATTTAGACATGTTCCCAGATCCCATTCAATTCGGACAAGGGGTGGTGGAGTAGGTTTTTATATTAGGCGTGGTCTACGTGCTATTAATTGTCCACATCCATTGTCTAATACATCTGTGGAACAAATGTGGGTCTCTTTAAATATTAACTCCCTTAAACTTATTATTGGCACAGCTTACCGCCCACCATGGTTAGATCTTGACACATTCTTGGATGCCATTACAGAATCTATTGTTACTCTTTCTAATCATGATAAATGCATTCTGCTAGGGGATTTTAATGTTGACATGCTGCAATCAAACAGTAGAGTAAGGAAACTAAATGCATTCCTATCTTCTACCAATTTAAAAAATTGTGTTTTACAGCCCACTCATTTCACTGACCACAGTGCATCATTAATTGATTTAATTTGTACCGACGTTAACACTCTCTCAGTCAACGTCGACCATATTTCAGAGCTAGGTGGGCATGCATTAATATCTGCCGAGATTAAAATTAAAAAAACATAAATTTAAATCAAGATGGATCTCCTACAGACCATTTAAAAATATTATTTTGGATAATTTCAACAAAGACCTGGTTTCTTTACAATGGGAATACATAAATTCAGCAACTTCCGTAGATGATATGATTGAGATCTTTAACACATACATAAATATACTGTTTGATTTACATGCACCTATGACACAGTGTAAAATAAAATATAGGGCAACCCCATGGCTTACTAGCAATGTGCGCTTTATGATGAAGCTTAGAAATAAAGCTCATAAAGTGTATCTTGCTGATAAATCCGTGTCCAACAGAGAGCACTACAAGTCCTTAAAAACTTTGGTAACATCTGCCTTATTCCATGAAAAAAAGCTTTCTTCGAACACCATATAAATTGCAAAATAGCATTCCCTAAGCAATTATGGAGGAACCTTAAATACACACTAGTTCCAAGTTTCAAGGACACAGGTGACCTCCCTGCTTTCTTTGACAATCCCTGTACCATCAATTCTTTTTTCTTGGATATCCCTGAGAACAATAAAGAATCAATGTCAGAACTCACATATTATGAGTTTCACAGATATAGTGACACTACTTTCATGCTATCACCAGTGAATAGCGACCTAGTAGCTAGGACAATTTTGGCAATAAAATCTAATGCGCAGGGTATTGATGGTGTGAGTAGAGACATGGTAACCCTATCTCTTCCTCACACCCTCGATACCATCACTAATATCATTAATAAATCAATCACCAGCTCTACCTTTCCCAGTCAATGGAAAACAGCATTAGTGCGGCCTATCCCAAAGAAAGCCAACCCAAGCAGTGTCAAGGAGTTAAGACCCATTAGCCTCTTGCCTTATCTATCTAAAGTTCTGGAAAAAGTTGTATATAATCAGGTCTATACATATTTGGAAAGACATAATATTCTGCCACAATATCAGTCAGGTTTCCGCAAAGGCCGTAGTACTTGTACAGCACTTGTTGATGTTGTGGACAATATACTAGCTTCTAGAGATCAAGGTAAGGGGACGGTTCTTGTTCTCCTTGACTACTCCAGGGCATTTGACAGTATTAGCATTAACATGCTCCTTTCTAAAATGTCTTATTATGGCTTCGAAAATAGTACAATTAAGTGGTTTCACAGTTACCTCTGTGGCCGACATCAGATTGTTGAGCTGCACAAAACGGATGGTACAGGTACTATTCAGTCACACCCTCTACCTGTTACTAGGGGTGTTCCACAGGGCTCCATATTAGGGCCCCTCCTGTTTATTTTATACTGCAGTGATTTGATTCATGTGATTAAAAACTGTAAATATCACATGTATGCTGACGACCTTCAGCTATATCTGTCATTCCATCCTTCAGAGGTTTCCGATAGTATAAATAGGATTAATCAGGACTTGGAGCGCATTGCACAGTGGTCTAAAGTGAACTCGCTTATTCTCAATCCAGCTAAAACAAAATTTATGATATTAGGATCTGGATACCAAATTAAGAAAATAACTGACAGTCAACCCAGAATATTATTGGAAGGAGAAATCATTCAGCAGGTAGAAGAGGCTCGCAATCTTGGCCTTAAAATAGACGGCATGTTGCAATTTGAGAGTTATGTTTTAGATGTGGTGCGTTCTTGTTTTTATAGGTTAAAGGTACTTTACAAGATACGTGATTACCTAAGTTTGAATTTAAGAGTAACCCTTTGTGAGACTCTCATCTTGTCTAAACTAAATTACTGCATTTCGGCCTACGGACCCTGTCTCTTAGCGAAAACAATGAAGCTCCTTCAGCGAGTACAAAATGCATGTGCTCGTTTTTGCTTTAATATCCCTCCGAGAGCACATGTTTCTCCTTATTTGGAAAATAGCAAACTGCTTAACATGTCATCAAGGCTCAAATTGCACTTTGCTACTTTACTATTTGGAGTAATTAAAAACAAAACTCCCGAATATTTATATGAAAAGCTTACCTGGTCCAGTGAACATAACTTTCACTGTACTCGTGGCGCTAAGTTTTTACTTACTGTTCCAGGACACGTCACGGCTGCTTTTCGCGGCAGTTTTCGCTACCTAGCAACAAAGTGTTGGAATAATCTCCCACCCCCTTTCGTGAAATTCAATCCAAGGTTAATTTCAAAATGCGATATAAATTGTACCTTCTAGATAACAAAGAAAATACAAAGTAACAATACAAAGACTGGTTGTTGATACACTAGGTAGGTGGTTTGCGTTATTATTATTTTACTTTAATTTTTGATGGTTCCCTATGTTCTAAAGAATAAAGTACGTAATGAAATTCAATTTCTATTATATTATAATTGAAATTGAAATAGATGACCGTAGTGACTTATTCTCTTTGTAGATGACATGTACAAGCAGTTGTTGTTGTTGTTTTTGTTATTCGCTCGTGAGAGCAGGCAAAGGAACTATGCCATACAGCCTTGTCTTTGTGTATAATTATCCTTCGTAATTCACTGCTTCAAAACATGTTGATGCGTCACATGGTGCAGCCCTTGGGAGATTCTGATGGCAACTTGAGCCAGCAGGCAGCAGACAATTGGCGATGGTATCCAAAGATGCCTATGCAAACAGCTTATCTTGAGAATCCATCTCCATCAGAGCACTTGTTTCACAGCTTCCACTAATAGTTCACATGCGCAGACACTTAATACACAAAATCGCATATTGGTCAATGATGTACACCATTGTCCAGGAATTAGCTCTATAACATAGTATAAATATTTTTAATTTATTATTATTATTCCTTTCATTATTCTATTATATACTATTGCCAACATAGTTAAAAGTAATATATTTATCTATTTATTTTTCATTATTTATCGTTTTTCAGAATATTATCTTTATATTATATTACATAAACATATACATTTAAAATATCTTTAGTTTTTTTTGCATTAAATCTGTCTGACAGCTGCTCGTATGTTTTAGATTAGTGGTCCCGACAGAATAACAGCGCTGCGGCTCTTTGCTGTAGCATAATGCTGAGTCGGGTCCTTTTCGTTGCTGCAATCCAACATAAATTTAAATACTTTTTTATAAATACTTTTTACTATTAATTGTTTATTTTTTGTGTTGAGTTAATTGTTTGTTTTTTTTTTATGTGTTTGTATTAGCGTAGCAACGAATAAAGTTATTTTCTTTCTTTCTTTCTTTCTTTCACTGCGCCTCGGTCCTGTGCATATAGCTAGTCTCCTTGTTCCTGCGCCTGATCTCTCTCCGGTCGTGTTGGATTACCGTCCCATTGAACTATGAGAGTGTTATATCTATAGTGCACTACGTCTCGGTCCTGTGCATATAGCTAGTCTCCTTGTTCCTGCGCCTGATCTCTCTCCGGTCGTGTTGGATTACCGTCCCATTGAACTATGAGAGTGTTATATCTATAGTGCACTGTGCCTCGGTCCTGTGCATATAGCTAGTCTCCTTGTTCCTGCGCCTGATCTCTCTCCGGTCGTGTTGGATTACCGTCCCATTGAACTATGAGAGTGTTATATCTATAGTGCACTGCGCCTCGGTCCAGTGCATATGCTAGTCTCCTTGTTCCTGCGCCTGATCTCTCTCCGGTCGTGTTGGATTACCGTCCCATCGAACTATGAGAGTGTTATATCTATAGTGCACTTCGCCTCGGTCCTGTGCATATAGCTAGTCTCCTTGTTCCTGCGCCTGATCTCTCTCCGGTCGTGTTGGATTACCGTCCCATCGAACTATGAGAGTGTTATATCTATAGTGCACTGCGCCTCGGTCCAGTGCATATAGCTAGTCTCCTTGTTCCTGCGCCTGATCTCTCTCCGGTCGTGTTGGATTACCGTCCCATCGAACTATGAGAGTGTTATATCTATAGTGCACTGCGCCTCGGTCCAGTGCATATAGCTAGTCTCCTTGTTCCTGCGCCTGATCTCTCTCCGGTCGTGTTGGATTACCGTCCCATCGAACTATGAGAGTGTTATATCTATAGTGCACTGCGCCTCGGTCCTGTGCATATAGCTGGTCTCCTTGTTTCTGGGACTGGACGCCGTTTTCGAAATTCGGTCTGGAGGACATAAACATACAACAAGAACAATTTTGACGCTGCTTCCCTTCGCCGGGTATTTTACGCCTGGCGTAAACGAGATAATTACACTGCCATCTATTGGTAGTCATAAGAATAATTTTGCTTTACTGTAAATCCACAAAAGAAATAATTTTGTTTTCTATTTTCATAAATACTTATTAAATTACTATCTCTCCGTATTTTAAAGGATAAAAGAAAGAAGGATTTATTTATTTGATCTATTTTAGTCTAAAAAGTTCATTTCTGAACATAGGCGTCAGCAATAGATTGCCTCATAGGGAGAATTTTACCACAGTTGCCACGCTCAGCAGGCGGGTTGGTAACTCAAGTTTTTTTTTAATATTTTGAGTTGTTATCCAGAAGATGCTGCTGCCCATATCCTGTTTTAGTTGCAATCTGTCATCTCTTACACCCACGGGTCGATATGGGCTAGTGGAAATTATTACACCGTCACTACACGGTATTTATTTGATGCACACATTTAAAATAAAAAATAAACAAACCTGTGTGTGGCAGAGCTATGCTGCAGATATATTAATAGTATAGTTGTAGCACGGGGCGGCTCGACCGGGGAAGGACCACGCTCTCACAGAATACCAGCGTAAAATAGCAGCTTAACGATGCTGTGTTTCGTATGGTAAGTGTAGAGAACTGGAGACCCTTTTTATTGGAAAAGACGCATAACATCTTAATCCTCAAGAGTAACAACGCATCTACATATTGATTTGTAATCGAGGATAGATGTGGATATCTATGGGCCGCAGCGACCACTTGTCATCACGTGGACTGTGTGCTAGTTGGTTCAAAAAGCAATTTACATTTTTGCAATACGTTAGCGATGACATGTTTTGTCAAAATTACAGGAATAATATTTTGATTACTTATTTGTGACATCTGTCTTTTTTATTCTTTACAATTATTTAAAAAATTAAAATAAAAACAAAACATATAAAAACTCCACGGACATTCTCCTTCTCTCTAACTTCCATGGTTGCTACTTAAGTAAGATATGCGAAAATATGCCGTTTTGTGGATTATCTTAATATATATAAATTACGCGTCACGTTGTTTGTCCGCGATAGGCTCCTAAACTACTTAACCGATTTTAATGAAATTTGCACACCGTGTGCAATTTGGTCCAACTTGAGAGAGCGGATAGTTTTTTTTGCCCATGAGTAACCCACAATTTATTTTTTGCGAATTTAAGGATTCTTAATAGGACATGACAGGGTCGTAGAAAAGGGCAGAACAACGTCTGTCTGGCAGGCTAGTAAACAGTATATATAGAACATCTTCGAACTATCACATTCGTGGACAACGGGACTGCACTATCGACCTCCGGTCTGAGCGCGGGGGTGATGTGGCGGCGCTGTCATCGCGCCGCAAGCAAAACACACCGAAGCCTAAATCACGCTATCAACATTCCGAATCATAAACAGTATATATAGAACATCTCCGAACTATCACATGGAGCGTTGGCTGCTCCCCGGGCAGAACACCTTGCCCAGTGGGAGATCTCTCCTTTTCCTTCCACGGCTACAGTTTATCAATAAATACCCATTATTTTTTAATATAAATAGTTACTAGTTTATAATTTTAGTTTAGAACTAAAAAAGAACGAGAATTAATAAAAAACAATTACCACGTTTTTGTATTATTTTAGTAATCAACAGGATTGCAGAGTCATTTATTGCTTCAACTTTGAGTGAAGTTATAAAAAGGTAATCACAATGATAATTTTAAGTTAATCTCTTATTAGTAAATTATAGGCACTGGTATTTTTATAGAATGATGTGTTCTTCTATAATTGGTAGCACATAGTAATTTGTATATGTAAGGCAAGTATTAGATGTAAGTTAATATGAACAAATGTTGGAGATCCATACAAATAAATTAATAAGTAGATACGGTCAGTGTAGCGGCGGTGTAAGAATATTATACCATTTCCATTTCATCGGACAGAGTGAAACAAATCAGGAGATGGGCAGCAGAGTCTTCCTAATTAGTTACCATACTATATCCATAGTTAATAGCTTGCTAAGCGTATCAACTATGGCAAATATCCCTACTATGAGGCAATCTATGGAGGAGTTCTATGTTCAGCAGTGGACGTTAATAGGTTGTAACGGTAACGATAATGATGCGGTCTGTAATAAAGTGTCGCTACGAGTAATATTCAGATCGTTTCATATATCTCAAGTATGTTCACGACTCGATTGAAGTAATGCTACGTTTGGATTCCCATTAACATAATAAGCTATATCCTTTTGTATACCAATATTTTTAACGTTGATGTCTTATCGGTATCTGACGGTATTCAGACACGACCGAAGAGAGAGCAGGCACAGGACAAACAGCTAAACGTGCATTCCGAGGCACGGTGGTGAAACTCCGACGACTTTCTAACCCCAAGTTGCTACTTAGAATTTCGTGACAGTTAAACCAAATACCTGGGATTTCCAAACCTCAAAAAACCACATGATCAGTAGTCTGACTTACTCTGTAGTGTAGTCTGTGTGTAGTCTGACTGACAAAAGAGGCAGTCAATTTTATGGTAGTAAACCTAATGTCTCAGTGAACAGAAACAGGAGCAGCAAACTTAACGTAATGATTTATTCACTCTTTAGCAGTAACCCACTAGCACTCAAGTTTCCGCCTATGCTCTCAAATTGATATTTCTTACAAAATAATTGTATTCCAAATTTGAATTCAGGAAAAGAAAACTCAAACTTTTCATTTGTAACATTATTTATGGCCAGGTAAGCTAATGTCTCGTGCAAAGTATGAAGTCCTGGTATTTAGATAGTAGGACCCTGATAAATAGATAGTGACTTGGTGTGAAGTTCTTAATTAAGATAGAAATAGTTTTTTTAACAACGGCGAGTTTTTTCCAGTTGGTACTTTGTAACTACTATAT